CTGCAGTACTATCACTGCATACACCAGAGCTCTGACAACTGCAACCAGCCTCTCTGGAAGGGGGGTGGGGGGGTGGCAGGCACAGCAAAGGGCCAAGTCATTCTTCCTCTCTTGCTCCCCCTGCTGGGCCTGCCCATGTTGCTAAGAGATCTGGATGAGGCCTTTGCGCTCTGCTCCAGAGGAACCCTGTGCCCTGGTGTCCAAGAGCCCAAGACCATCTGCAGCTTATCTTTCTACAAAACCAGCCTGATGTTAAACAATCAAACTAGACATTTAAAAACTCAATAAATTATAAATAAAAATAAAACGAAGCTGAGGACATGAGCTAACGCTAAGCAAGAAACGGAAGACGAGCAGTCAATAGTGTAGAACTGCTCAATGTCTCTAGAAAATCAATTCAAGGACTATTAGATAAGGTTGGAAAAGCCTGTAAAAGAATAGGACTCATTATGGAAATATGTTTGGAAAACTCACATTTCCAAACTTTGGATGGATCTGAAATTCACATAGCCTTTCTGGAGTCAATTTCATCAGAAGCGAAAATGAACTTATTTTTTAATCCAAAAATTAGTTTTAGAAAGAAATCCAAAGAAGAAAACTCGGAGGAGTGCAGAAAGGTATATGCCCAAAGGCATTCCTCCACAATGTTAATTTGTAATAATAAAAATACTGGAAGCCACCTGAGTATCAATAGTTTATAGATAAAATGGTATTGATCCGTAAGAGAGAATCCTAGCCAGTCATTAAAAATGAGCACGTAAGGGCAGAAAAACCAACACAGACAAAATGTTAATCATATATTGTGAAGCGAAAAGTGGGAGTTTACAGTATATAGTTATCCTAATACTGTGTGCACAGGTGTGTATTTCCAAAAAGAACACAGAAACAGAAGAAGCCAAACCAAATGCCAGAGACAAAGCTACAACCCACCTATGGAGAACAATAGGGAGCAGTATTATTATTTCATTAATTTTCCCATAGAAGTAAAATTGAAAAACACATTTCAGAGAATATAAGTCTATGACTCCTGTATAATATTAAAGTCATTTTATTTATATTTTCTAAGCATTATTATTTTCTCATCCTTACCTACCAAATTAACAGCATGCTGTTTCATAGGTAAAAGTTTTTCACAGCCTTCTACAGTATCTACTCCTCTAAAGTTACTAAGGTTCAGGTGTGTTTTTCATCACAACCACTAACATTAGCAGTTTTAAAACTTTTGGACACATTTTATAGGAATTTTTCAATGTTTCAAACTATAGTAAGGTAGAATATCTACACAAATCACTAAATCATCTGGAAAGAGAAAACTCCAAGAAGCATAAACAATAATAGTTGTTCATCCATAGGCTATTAAAAATTACATGGTTTATTTCTCTTCAGTAGCAATTACAAATACAGCTTGCAAAGCACTGGGCACAATGGCTTTAAAGTTGTCTAATTCCAGGCAACAACATATTATTTGGAAATGGCATGGATACTTTTGATTGCAATATAGAATTTTAATATTCTGACAGTATTTCTGATTTGCTAAAGTCAAATGCCCTTAAGCATCCGGTCTATTAAAACTTCTCTGCAGGTAAACAAATATGGATTAAAATGCATGGGAAAAGGCCTAGGATACATGCTGAACTAAAAACCAACAGTTATTTTAGGAGAGGCAACTGAGAGACGGGGGAGAAGACGATTCCTCTGTTACATTCCAAAGAATATTTATGCCCTCTTCCCCCAACCTGCGCAGCTGGTATGGACCAACAGCACAGGAGCACCCAGTCCTAGGAAGGCTAAGGAAGTCCCACTAGCTCCTGGGCACTAGTCACAGTTGCCACGCTTCTCTAAGTTCCTCTTCTAATTTAAAGAATGTGGTTGGACACCCCACAGAGCAGGACATACCTTCACTAGGGCCTGGAGTTCAAATAGTTCTAAACTCCCCTGCTGTCCTCTCAGGATGTGAATGAACTTCTTTGGTGGGTGTGGGGAGGAGGACAGTGGTGGTTAGACAAGAATTTTTGGTCTGTGTGTCACAGCAAGTAAGCTAAAACTAAGGTCTGCTCTTTCAGATGGGGATAACTATTCCCACTTTGTATATAAGGAAAAGGAACCAGGGAGGATCAACCATCCCAAACTATGAATTCCAGATATGGTGGAGCAAGCAAGATAGCAAGCATCACTTTTCCAACTCGCTAAGTATCTGACAGGAGCTTGCTCTTGAAAAGTGGTGTCTAAGAGCAAATATCAGTTCCTCGTTGTCTGAAAGAGAAGCTTGGGGATGTGCAGAGTCTGAAAGGAGGGGCGGGTGGGAAAGAGGAAGGAGATGGAGATTACGTAGTGTCCCATCGCTCGGTGGCCCATGAAGGTTCCACGGAAATAACAGGAATCAGAACAGGCTAAGCCATCCACAGAAACACGGAGGTCAAAGGGGTAGGGCAAGGACAGCTACAACTGCAGTTCCCTAATGGGGGCAACAAGTAGGTTGGTTGAGGGCATCTAGGATACCCACTGGTTAAACCTTTCCAGAGGCTACGGCTCTACCTTTCCTTGCCAAGTACAGGCGGGATGTGAAGTGACAGGGCACACCAGGCAAGGCAAGGACACATTCCACACAGAAAATGGGCCCAATTCCCAAAAGACAGGTTCTAGGGGGTTACCAGGAAACACTATCTAGGCACTGGGAATGTACATCACTTAGTCATTTCAGAAAACCGTACCTATGACCCAGCCATTCCTCTTCTGATTTTGCACTTGAGCACTGGAGTTTAAGTTCTGGGAGATGACCCATTCATGGGCTGTGCAATCAGTTTAGTAAATGGGTACAAGCATTTCTTTTAACAGAATGTGGTACAATACAAAATAAAATATCAAAGTATTTTACAGGTAATTAGGGTATTGTTTCAGGAAACAAAATCATAGCTATGTAAAATTGTTGGTTATACATGTACATGTATTACACAGACACACACGTGCGCACGTGTGCATGCACACTCTCCAGATAACCAAAAGGTTCACTCCCCCCACTGTAGTCTTCCCAGTAAGGTCGTTCCATCTCCATGCTATGTAGAAGCAAACTTCTGACAACTTTTCCTATTTTCGTTTTACTTTACAGCACTTATCCCTATCATCTTCTCCCTTGCACACACATTTTCTTGATAGGACTTCTCACAGCAACAAGGACACAAACTATCTGGTCATGGTGACTTGTGAAAAATATTCTAGGGTAAGTTCTCATTGGCCTATTTTGTAACAAATAGCCATTCCTGGATCAATACAAATGTGGGTCCAGGAAGAGATGGTACCATCTGGGATAAATGTCAACTCTTGTGTTCACAAGGATGGGCTATATCTTACAGGAAGAATGTAGAAAAGTTGCCTCGAGCAGATGAAAAGCAACAGCCACTACTCATAATATTTAAGTACCTGCTAAAAATGCCCTATCAGGTGGACAAGGAAAGGGGTAAATTAATCAAACGATGCAGGGACAACTGGCTATTTATTTGGAAGAATACACAGCTGCTTATCTCACAACACGTGTAACAGGAAACACCACAGAGGGGTATCTGAATAATGTCATTTAACATAATGTCTGCTTCATACATGTCAACAAAGACATACCTGACACAGTGCTCAGTTCCAAAAGGAATTTACTTATGACACAAAAGCACAATGAAGTAGAAATACTTAACTTCCAACTAGTAGAATGTTTATTTCTAATTCTGGGACTTTACATAGGAGTTTACAAAAAAAAAAACCCCCCCCCCCACCACACACACAAAAACACTGTGCTGCTTATTATCCATTGGCTCCACCCAGACCTCCTCTCCACTTTCTCTGCGCCCACCTGGGCTAACCTGCAGATCGCATCTGGTTGCGTTCTCCAAAGGGAGGCACCAGCAATTCAGTGCCACGATTCTTGGAGGGACAATATCTTCCAGGAGGTGGTCTCTCCTCCATAAGAGTAGCTCTTATTGGGCTCTGGTGACACTAGTCTCCATCTTTGCCCCTTTACGACCTAGAATGCTCACAGTTTCTGGGTGATGCTAGTCTCTAGGTGCTTCAGGATCCCTTGTTTCTGGCCCATACCACCGTAATACATCTACCATCACAATCCTCTTGGTTGGGGTAGAATTCCGTTTTTCATTAGAAGCGGGGCTGATACAAATAGCTATTCTTGTGTTAAGTTGTCAAAAGAAATCATTCTTCCCCGAAATCACTATATAGAACATGAACATTTAGAATGAAGTACTTGTCTGTACCAGCTGGAATGCCTTCAGCTGAAATAACAGACAGCCCTAAGGATAAATAAGCAATCATTATTACCATGGTAATAGAAAGTCCTAGCCGAGAACAGGTCCAGATGGAGTTGTGCAGCTCAACGACGGGAGTCCCCTCTGAGCCAGGCTTTTCCCATTTTGTCTGATGGTATCTTCAGACTATTGCCCTTCAGGGCCACAAGCTATAATTTGGTATGATGTGCCAACATGAAAAAGTCCAGCATAAGAGAGACAATCTCTCCTTTTGTCTTCTCATGTCACAATAGTTTATTACTGAGATCTCTCCCAGAAGTACCGCAGAATATTTTCCAAACATCTCAACAAAATCATTAGAACAGCATCTCCATGATTAACTCAGATTAATCTGGATTTACTCCTAAATCATGTGGGGGAAGAATGGAAAGAGAAACAAAACAGAGCCCAGCAAATCAGCAGCAGGGTGGTGGGTGGGCAGTGTCTTTTGGAACTGCTGATCAGTGTGTTCCAAGGAGGTGTGGGAAAACAGTAGGACAAAGGAGGCAGGGACAGTGCATGACACCCTAGTATTTTAAATACAAATACATAGTTCCTGGGTCACATACAACAGATCATGCCTAAATAGATACAGTAATGAAATACCAAGAGTAGGAAAGTGGCATTCGAGTACATATTTTTATTTGTGGAGTGCATTGAGTGTTCCTGTTCATAAATGATGTTAACCTTTGCAAAATTCATGTAAATCCCACTAACAGTACTTACAACAACATAGACTGACCCAGAGGCAACTGAAAAACCTCAGAAAAATATTATTTGGCTTCTTTGGGAAGTAGTAGTAGATCAGTAACGATGGCCATACTAAATCTTATTTGCCGGCAACGTCAGACGGAAGGTTGGTGGTGAGGTCGTAAAATAACATATACTGGCCAAACTATAAAGAGACTCAGGTAGTATTTACAATTAAGACTGATGCAGAGGTAGTTTAAAAACCTCACAAAAACAAATTTGGGGTTCTTTACTGAAGAGGCAGTTCAACAATAATGGCCATAGCCATTTATTTATGTCAGGATATGAGAGAGGGGTGTACGTAGTCTGTACTTCAAATTGTTCAGATGTATTTTCATATATACACAGTCGTGTGCTGGTAAATATTTAACAACAGGTTCTCTGAGAAAATAAGAACCCCGGTTTGTACAGTTTGCCAATTTCCAGGGTGTAAACACTCCCACTACAGCAGGCTACCCACAGGACGACACTGAGTGCAGAGTTGGGAAGAGATGGGCAGTAGCACATTAGATGGTATTTTTACCATATGACTCAGTAATAAAAGTGACCTAAAGAACAAAGAACAAAATGTTATAAAATAATTAGGAATTGATAAGTGCTGAGAATTTATTACCTTTGTTTTTAATATAATTTAATTTTTAAATAATGACTGTTTAAGTACTGGCTCACAAAATTCCTGAAAATTTAACCATTGGCAGTTGCAAGCCAGTGTGAGCTTACTCTTAACACACCACTACATACGTGTGGGGTATGTGTGTATAAATACATTTACATATACACTATATATACATATATAATTATGGCAACTTATAAAGACACTGGTGGTATTTAGTGTGGAAGATACTAATATAGACCATAATAGCTCTCTAATTAAAAGATATTTTCTCTTCATAAGTCTGTTGGACTACAATATGCAAATCAAGCATACATCTAATTTCTGCTATATTACTATACCCACATCAGGCCTGCAAACATCAGGGACTTTTCATAATTGTTTAATGTTGTTGTGATTCAACTTTTTTTAAACTTCAGATTCCACTTGAATATAGGTATGAATGAATACCATCCACCATATTTACAATAAAATTTGGTATCACATTTGGAATATGACACAACATAAATTCTAGACAAAGAGTTGTATCACATTTCTTAAGTGAAGAAATTTCCCCTCAATATAAATTTTCTGATTAAAAGTTTCAGTTTTTCTTCAGAGCTTTCACATATTCAAAATATCAGTATGGTTTTATGCTAGTATTATTTGAAGTATGATAAGACATTGCTTTCTAGTAATGTGAGGCATTCTTTGGGCTTCATCTCATTTTTTAAAAATGGTATAATAACTTGAAAGAGCAGGTGAAGGCTTCTGGACATCAGGATGTTGAAAGAGCTTTCACCCTTGTGTGAATTCTCTGATGTTTTGTAAGTACTGACCTCTGACTGAAGGTTTTCCCACATCCATCACACTCATAGGGCTTCTCCCCTGTGTGAGTTCTCTGATGTTTAGTGAGAGCTGATTTTTCACAGAAGGTTTTCCCACACTCGTTACATTTATAGGGTTTCTCCCCTGTGTGAGTTCTTTGATGTACAATGAGGTTTGACTTCACACAGAAGGACTTCCCACATTCACTACACATGAAGGGTTTCTCTCCTGTGTGTGTTCTCTGATGGACAGTTAGGGCTGACCTGTGGCAGAAGGATTTCCCACATGTATTACATTCGTATGGTTTCTCCCCTGTGTGTGTTCTCTGATGTTCTGTGAGGTTTGACTTCACACAGAACGTTTTTCCACATTGCTTACATTCATAGGGTTTTTCTCCTGTATGTGTTCGCTGATGGTTGGTAAGGTGTGGTTTCTGACAAAAGGATTTCCCACACTCAGTACATTCATAGGGCTTCTCTCCTGTGTGTGTTCTTTGATGTTGAGTGAGGTTTGACTTCTCCCAGAATGTCTTCCCACATTCACCACATTCAAAGGTTTTTTCTCCTGAATGACCTCTTCGAAGTTGGGTGAGATGTGATTTCTTGTTGAAGTTATTTCCATTTTCACTGTGCTCATAAGGTTTTTTGCCCATGTGTACTATTTGATGTTTAAAAAGGGTTGACTTTTCCCAGGTTTTAGGACCTACTTTATACTCATGGGGAATCTTTCTTGCATAGGCTCCCTGATGGATAATGAAAGTTGAGTTATCACAGAAGGTTTGCCCATATTCATTGTATTCATAAGGAGTCTGTCCTGTAAGAGTTCTCTGATGTCCCAGTCTTAAATCTGTGTAAAAGGACTTCCCACAAATATTGCATTCATATGGCTCCATCTCCAAATGAGTTCTCTGAGATAAACTGAGCTCTAAACTGTGGATGAAGGTTCTTCCACATGCATTATATTTACAGAGTGTCTCTCCTATCTGTATTTTCTTGTTTGTGAAAAAGGCCGCTTCCTCATGGAAGGCTTGTCCATTTTCATTATACTCAGAAGGCTGGTCAAAAATTGGCTGACTGGGATTGTGGCTATGACTGAGCACATTCCTTTTTTGATTATATCTATAAGATTTCCCTCCAGGAGTTTTCTCATGCTTAATATCAAGGAGCAATTTCTCATATACATTAAGCTCATCAGGCTTCTTTCCAGAATAGCTCTTTCTACTAATAATTACGCCTGAAATATTTTTCAAACTCATTTCACATGAGTCACATATCTTATATGGAAAATTCCTTGAAGGAACAGAATCTGTGCCCAGATTGAAAGCTTTTCTTACTCTATCACAACTATCTATATTTAATGTTTTGTTGGTAGTGAAAGCCAGTTGCCAAAAATGTTCATCTTCATTGTCCTGGCTGCTCTCTATCAGGTCATCAACTTTCCAGTCTTCTAGAAATGAGAAAAATAACCACATCTTATGAATCGTAGTACACTTCTAATGAGAATGAACTCCCACAAACACCCTTTCATATAGTCGATTCCTTTGTTTTAGGCTCAGTTTCCTGGCGTGAACTAAATCCAAGCATGCATTTCCTTTATCCTGCTAGTCTCATGGAAAGTAAATACAAGCTGCTGTGGAAACAGGGAATGGAAACTGGCAAGGGCACTTAACATTTTAAATACAAAACTTTCAAAACTGGACAGAAAAGGGTGAAAATGCAAAGCACAGGTTGCTGGGAGTGGCTGATTCAGGGACTCATAGAGAATGGGGTGAGCCAGACAGAGACATTGAACACTGAATAAAGTGATGGTAGAGATGGCTTTCAGAAGATGAACTATGTTTGGGGGAGAGAGAACAGTTCCATCCTAATCCCCTCATGTACAGATTCCTGGGGTAGGATTCCTGCGGGAGCACATGCTTCTACTCTGAGCACCAACACCAAACATTGCTGGGTTCAACCAAGAAGTCCTATAGCCCAGCATCTAGTTTTTCTTTTAACTTATTATATAAGAAATAATTATTTTTTTTAAAAAGCTGTAAAAAGCGGGCTAGAGAAAGTGAAATAAAATCAAGACATAGTAAGCAAGGATTGGGTATTTTCTGAGAGGTATCCGCTTAGGAAGCAGGAAACTCACAGAGTTGTAAAGTTCAACAAGGGGTTTTTTCCAATAAAAAATAAACTACAAATAGACTGTTTGAGAAACACAGTAGAGGAAAAATTTAGAGACAGCTCACAGTTCCCATCCTTATCCTCTCACATCTTGACTACTATGGTAGATTCTCACTAGTATGCATGTTGTCAGTCCCTTTTCTTCCCTTCATTTGATCTATCAGCATTAACAAAAATTTCTCAAAGCACCTACTTCCTCATTTTTTAAGGATCACTGCTTTACCCCCAGACTCTCACTCTCTATCTAGCTGTGATTCACAACAGCACAAATATCGAAAAGGAAATACAAAAATAGATGGGGGCAGGCTATCTCTGCCAAAGGACCGGGTTCACCTTGTTTTCTCACAGCTGCTTATGAATCTCACCATCAAGTCATATGTTGATTTACTTAAATCTGCTGGCTTACTTCCCCCAGAACCATTTCATGCCTGAGACAATGTTGATCTTTAAGTCTGCTTTTATACTTAAGTTTATCTTTTATATCAAGGTTTTCTGCTTTTCTCTCTAGCCTCATCTGTATCTTTTACCTACTTGTGAGACCTGTAAGCATCATGTTTCTCTATATGATTCTAAGACCTTTGGTAAACTTTATCATAAAAATTCTTGGCTGTGTTGCCACACAATGCAATAATATTAATCACTTGTGAAAAAACTTCTAAGGCAGTCCGGAGCCCACTGCTCCAAGGGCCAGATAGTGATAATTATTACCCCCCCAAAACAAATCAAAACAAAACAAACTTTCCACCAACTGGATTCACAGTAGGTGAATCCTGCAGCTGGGCCACTCCCTGAGACACAATATAAGTTGCGCTCCAGCCCTTGCTCTTTCTGGAACCTGGATATCTTTCAGGAAATGCTGCTTTCTTTCACTGACAACGAGCCACAAATATAATAATAAAAGAATGACTGCCAACAAACACTGCAACATCCCTCCCACTTTCAGCCTTCACTCACTATCTTTAAAAGAAGTTTACTGCCTGTAAAATTTACCATAATGTAAGATTAAGTTCCTTGCTCAATGCTATACCCTTTGTCAAGACCACAGTCTAGCTCTTGGCAGATGTTACCAAAATCCTGCTTCCTCTGACCTCATGAAAGAGACACAACATGAATGATTCATAAATGCAATGTGCATATGAATTATTTCCAACCTGTACGTGATAAGCGGTAATACACAAGGACAAAATGGGAATTTTGTATTTTGTATTTTGAATTTTGTATTTTGGAAAAGTACTTCAGAATGCTTTATGAATGGGTGAGAAAAAATGATCTCTTCCAAACTTAGCTGCACAATTCATCAAAAAAGAAATTAGTAAATTATCAGAATTGGGAAAAGAAAGGGCCTTCTCTGTGGGAAAACAAAATCTCATTAAAGAAGAAACCCTAAGCAAGAGTAATATGATTAGTTCTCAGTTTTGAGGATGTAGCCACTAGTGGGTTAGGGTCACAAAATATGGGTTATTTAAGTTACAGGGAAAACAAAGTGAGCTCTAACTTAAAATAGGTGAAATAAGCCATTACTATGTACCATGCAATGTTTAAACACTTTACACATACAATATTAAGTATCTGAAAAGCAAAGTAAACACAAATGAAAGTTGTAGTAGAAGAGAAAGTATTTATATGTGAAATTTAGGATCTAAGACAGTATGGGGTTTAGTGCAAATTCTAGAGAGCAGCTAGAAAGAGACAGGAAGAATAGGAGGACCACACTTTAATAGTCAATGAAAGGAGACTTTAATTTTAATTTCATTTCTTAATAAGCAGCAACTCTGCCAGACTAGTGAAAGATAAAGCAGATGCTTCAGGTAAGAAAATAAAAATCATTTAGGGATTAGATCCAGCCAGGAATGAGAGAACACACAGTTCTGCTTCTGAGTGAGATCAGTGAAAAATGAGAAAACAAAGGGATGCGGGAGCTGGTTTTGAAAGGCAAACAACCCCCAGGAATATGAGGACACTAGTAATAGGGGATAATGGGTTTAATGCGCTGACCACGGAGCTGCCATTTAAGGTAGTAATAGGACAGTAGCGTGTTCCTTATCGATTCCCGGGAAACCAGGCTCTCAGGTTTTCCCCCTGGCTCAGACTGTTCCTCCTTAAGCTCCTCTCGTGATGAGATTTTATGGATTTTCACACCCTGCAGAAGTGGAATTGTTCCAGAACCACTGCTCTCACATGCAAAGCCACCCTCTAGAAAAGGAGCCTGCAAACGATAACTATTGAGCAAGGGTCCTTAAACTACGAATGTTTTTTTACATTTTTAAAGGGAAACGAAAGAAGAGGCAGGAGGGAGAAGTGAGGAGGAAGAAGAAGGAAAAGGAGAACCAGGAAGGGGCGGGGGGAGCAGCAACAGCAGCAGCCAGCCAGGCCACATGTGACTCACCAAACCGAAAACATGTCGTACTGTCTTTACATAAAAGCCCACCAACCTCTGATCTAGAAGCTCTCAACCAGCCTCAGGCCTTTACCACCACCCACCGCTGACACCTCTCACAGGGCACTTCCGGCTCTGGCCTCTGCCACGTGCACCACACTCACACAGAACCAACATCTTATTCAACACAGAGACTGGGTTCTAGCAGTTCTCTCTCAGCGTCTTGTGTCCAAGTTTGGGTATGTCTTAACTCCCCTATAATCTAATTTCCTCCCAATAAATGGCACCCAGTTTTTATCCAGTTGCTTGAGACAAATCAGTTGAGTCATGCTGGACTCCTGTCTCTTCCACACTATCAATCCAACAGCAAATCTTGTTGGCTTCATCCTCAAGATATATGTACAAACCTTCCACTCCTCAGCACTTCCAACATCACCTAAATCATTATCCTCTCTCCTCTGGCGTATATAATAGTCTCAATGGTATTCCTTCCTCACTTGTGCCTAAGCACCACCTAACCACCAGACTGTATTTACTGCATAAACTGCTAAGTCAGATCTGATGATTTAATCTGACTTACATTTACTAAAAAAAAAAAAAAAAAAAAAAAACAAGGCTTTCTCATATCACTCATATCACTCAAAATAAAAATTACAAGGCTTTCTCATATCACTCATATCACTCAAAATAAAATTACCATGGTCCATGCTACTTCTTATGACATCACCTCCTAATACTCTCCCCAACACATACTCACCTCCAGCCGCAATGCCCCCTTACCATTCTTCAAACATCCTAAGAACACAGCTGAGAAGTTTGGCACCTGCCTGTAAGAGCTCCCACTTTCACTGTACTAGGGTCTCACCCTCCTGTGGACCTCATGAAACAGGTTTTCTCTGACTTCCTTACCCATTAGCACATGCCGCCATTCTCTACCCCCTCTCCACTGCTTTAACTCTCTCCATGGTGTTTACCACCACAAATACTGTATGAACACATTCACATGCATGTACTTCACACACACAAACATGCTTCTTGTCCCTTACTATAATACATACTCCACGATAAAAGAAATGCTAATCTTTTAATTACCTAAAAACACAACTGGATCCTAGTGAGTGCCCAACACGTATTTGTTAAATGAGTAGTATCTCAAGGAGAGCATGAAAACAAAAGGTGTCCAAAGAGAATAGAGAGAAAGTTAACAATTTTCAAAGATAAACTAACCTAGAAAAATTACCAAAGATGAAGCCAACTGAGTTTGCATTACAGGTATTAGTAAATCACTCTAAAATATCAAAGAGCAAAGGAAAGCATTTATGAGGGAAAGTGACATGCGGAGGAATGTGATTAAGGTAATGGCAGGATGTGGGCTAACTGTCCTTTGTCACTTCCAAAGGTCTAAAATTTATAAAAGAAATTTCTGAAGAATATTGTACAAGTGATAAACCCTAAACCAATAGCCTAAGATCTCATTCCCTTGTCTTCCATCTGCCTGCGAACTCACTAACTCACCTTGGTGGCAGTGGCTTTGGAATCCTGCCTCTAATATCCAGGGCTCTTCTCCTTGCTCTATCTTGAAGACCACTTCTGGCTTAGTAATGCAATATCCTGTGAAGAAAAAAATAATACAAGATGGTGGCTAAATAGCCTGGCTTCAGGGACTCTGAAAAAATGATGGCGAGGAAAGGTACAGCCTCAGGAGCTACCCAAGGGAGATGCCCAAATGAAGCAAGCCCTGAGGAGGCTACGAACAGAGCATTCTTTATGGAGGCCAGAGAGACTGTTCATCTCAGGGCCCTGAATCTCAAGTGTCAAACAAAATTCTAGAAGCAGTTCATATGTTTCAGCAACCAGAAATGCATGCTACCGATAGTCACAAGGGAAAAAAAAAAACCTTACCAAAGGAAAAAAAATCTTACCAACTGAGACAAAATGGCTGTAATTTTCTAGAATCACATCTCTGTATAGTATCTTCTGAGCAGGATCCAGCAGATACCACTCTTCCTGAGTGAAGTCCACACATACATCTTTGAATGACACTTGTTCCTGTAATAGTATATGCCTTTTCTATATGAAGCCATCAGAACTTATGACATGGAAGAAATTTAAAAGAGCTAACCTCTTTGAAGTTTGCTAAAAACTGACACATAGGATGCCTTCTTTTGTGTTATTTACTATGTAGGATAAAAGAAATATATAAATACAAACAAACTGAGTTTCCACTAAAGCCCTAGAACCGTTCCCCCTGCTGCAAATAGTACTGATGAAAACAAACACTTCCTGTTCTCAAAGTGCTTATGATCTGATGAGATACATACATTAACATTTATTAAATTATACACTGCAGGAGCTAGCAGTATTCACACAGTAGACTGGGAACGAAACCAGACCAAGAAATATTAGATCTTTAATATTATCATTTTTATGATAGAAAAAAAATAGACAATAAAACAGACAAAGCAAACCAAAAGGGGACCCAAATACTGGAAATAATAAACAAGAACTTCAAAATGGATTATGATTAATATATTCCATAAAACAGAGGAAAATATGAACAAAATAAGTGGGAGAAGTTCAATGGATATATGGTATATGTACTGGTCAGAAAAGAATTACTAGAGCAGGCCTGAGACTGCTATCGTTCCAAAGTCTGTTGCTATGAGGGTGTCCCTTGGCTGGCATCTGGGAACTTCAATTCCCTAATAAGAATGGTTCACTGTGGGCGCCTGGGTGGCTCAGTGGGTTAAGCCGCTGCCTTCGGCTCAGGTCATGATCTCAGGGTCCTGGGATCGAGTCCCACATTGGGCTCTCTGCTCAGCAGGGAGCCTACTTCCCTCTCTCTCTCTCTGCCTGCCTCTCCGTCTACTTGTGATCTCTCTCTGTCAAATAAATAAATAAAAATCTTAAAAAAAAAAAAAAAAAAAAGAATGGTTCACTGAGCCTAAACTATTTGTGTAAGCAATATGGGTTATGCGGCACACACGCATTCCTTCTAAGTCCAGAAGTTTCTGTTTCAAACAGAAAGTACCAATGTGATCATCTCCTAACAAAAACCCTGAGCATTGAGCATCTAGTGAGCTTCCCTGGCAGACATTTCACATTTGTTGCCAATCTCATCGCTAGATTTGGAAGAAGACTCAGGTTTGTTCCTGGCTTCCTCTCAACTATGCTCCATGTACCTTTTCCCTTTGTTGATTCTGCTTTATATCCTTGCACTTTAATAAGTCATAGCCATAAGAAGAACCACCTGCTGAGTCACCCTAATAAGTCACTGAGCCTGGGGATGGTCTTGGGGATCTCTGATAAATGTGTATGTAGACACATACATATACCTGTAAGTACATAGATAAAATGGGGATTCTAGAGCTGAGAAATACAACACTGAAATTAAGAACTCATTAAATGGGGATGCCTAAGTGGCTCAGTCGGTTAAGAGTCTGCCTTCAGCTTAGGTTATGATCCCAGGGTGCTGGGATGGAGTGCCGCATGGGGCTCCCCATCAGCGGGGAGTCTGCTTCTCCCTTTCCCTCTGCTTGCTGCTCTACCTACTTGTGTACTCTCTCCGTCAAATAAATAAATTAAAAAAAAAAAAAAGAACTCATTAAATGGGTTCAAAATCCTATTTGAGAAAACATATAAATCTAACAAAAGTATCAAAATATGTATGCATCTAACTAAAGTACCAAAATACATACCCCCAAACCAAGAGAACTGAAAGGAGAAATACATGAATTTATAATCATAGTTGGGAGACTTCAACATCCCTCTGTCAATACTGAGAGATCAAGAAGGAAGAAAATCAGTAAGTATACAGATGCCCTGCAGCACACTATCCATTAACATGATCTAACTGGACTGTTACAGAATACTCTATCCAAAGCAATAAAACACATATTTTATCATTCTACTCTAGCTCATATGTAACATTCACCATGATAAACCATAGTCTTGGCCACAAAACACACCTTAACAAATTTAAAACAACAGCTACAACAAAATACAACAAAATACGTTCTCCGACTACAATGGAATTAAACAGAAATCAATAAACAAGAGATAGCTGGAAAATCCCTCGAACACTTGAAAATCAAACAACACACTTATAAATAGTGTGTTCAAAGAGGTCTCAAAGAGACCTTCAAAGAGGTCTCAAAAGAAATTTTTAAATACTGTACATGAAATAAAAATAAAAATACCACTTATCAAAATTTGTGGGATGAATTGAAATTTTTAAATACTGTACATGAAATAAAAATAAAAATACCACTTATCAAAATTTGTGGGATGAATTGAAAGCAGTACATAAAGGGAAATCTATAGCAAGTGTATATATATTAGAAAAAATCAGTAACCTATTCCATCTTAGAACACTACAAAAAAAAAAGCAAATTAAGCCAAAAGCAAGCAAATATAAAGGAAATACTAGAATAAATCAATGAAATTGAAAACATGGGGAAAAAAAAAATCAATGAAACCGGGGTGCCTGGGTGGCTCAGTGGGTTAAGCCTCTGCCTTCGGCTCAGGTCATGATCCCAGCGTCCTGGGATCGAGCCCCGCATCCGGCTCTCTGCTCAGCGGGAAGCCTGCTACTCCCTCTCCCACTCCCCCTGCTTGTATTCCCTCTCTTGCTGTATCTCTCTCTGTCAAATAAATAAATAAAATCTTTAAAAAAAAATAGCTGCTTCTTTGAAAAGATCAATAAATTAATAAACTTCCAGAAAACCTAACCAAGAAAATAAAGAAAAACAAATTGTGAATCTCAGAAATGATAGGTCAATATCACTGATCCTAAGGATATTAATAATAAAAGAATACTATGAATAATTATATTCCTGAAAAATTAACTTAGATGAAATGGACAAATTCCTGAAAAGACACAACTAATAATTCATACAAGGAGAAAGAGATACCTGGAACAGATCTATATCTGTTAAAAAAAATTGAATTACTAATCAAATCACTCCCAAAATAGAAAGTACCAAGCTCAAATGGTGTCACTGGTGAATTCTACTAAACATTTAAGGAAAAAATACCAATTCTCCACAATCTCCTCCAGTAAATAACACTTACAAACTTGTATTATAAGGCCAACATTATTACCCTGATACCAAAACTAGGTAAAGACATGAGAAACTAAAGACCAATCTATCCCATTAGCATAGACACAAAAATCCTCAAGTATTGGCAAATCAAATCTGACAACATATAAAATGAATTATAAACAATAACCAAGTGGAATTTACTCCAGGAATGGAAGGCTGGGTCAATGTTTAAAAAAAAAAAAAATCAATCAATACAATCCAGCACACAAATTAGCCAAAGAAGAAAAATTACATGATCAAATCAATTGATAAAGAAAAAGCATTTGACAAAATCTACTAGCCATTCATGATCAAAGTTCTCAACAAACTAGAAATAGGGTGAACTTTCTCAGCTTGATAAAGACCATCTACAAAAAACTTACAGCTAATATCATATTTAATGTTAAGACACTAGACACTTTTCCCTAAGGGCAGGAGTAGGACAAGGATGTCTTATCTCATTACTCCTATTCAACTCTGTATGAGAAGTCCTAGCTAGTGCAGTATGACCAAAACCAAACCAAACCAAACCAAACCCAAAACCAGAAATAAAACATACGTGACTGGCTTTTTATCCTGTTTCATTGGTCTTTGTGTCTATTTTTGTGCCAGTACCATACTGTTTTGATTCCTATAGCTTTGTAGTATATCTGGAAATCTGGGATTGTGATCAATTTGTGAAACAAATCCAGCTTTATTTTTCTTTCCTAAGATTGCTCTAGCTATTCAAAATAGAACAGAACAGAGAGACCAGAAACAAACCCATTATTTGGTCAGCTAATCTTCAACAAAGGAGGCAAGAATATCCAACAGGAAGCAGACAGTCTCTTCAACAAATGGCATCTGGAAAACTGGACAGTTACATGCAAAAGAATGAAACTGGACCACTTTCTTACACCACACGCAAAAAATAAACTCAAAATGGATTAAAGACCTAAATCTGAGACCTGAAACCATAAAAATCCTTGAAAAGAACACAGGTAGTAACTACCTTTACATCAGCCATAGCAACTTCTTTCTAGGTATGTCTCCAAAGACAAGGGAAACAAAAACAAAATCAAACCATTGGGACTAAACCAAAACAAGAAGCTTCTACACAGCGAAGGTAACCATCGAAAACAAAAAAGACAACGTACTAAAGAGAGAAGATATTTGCAAATGATATATAAGGACTTGATATCTGAAATATAAAATGTATACAACTCAACAGCAAAAAAAAAAAAAAAAACCCAAAAAACAAAACAACAAATAAGCTGATTAAAAACTGGGCAAAGGACCTGAATAAACATTTTTCCAAATAAGACATATAGATGACCAAGAGACCCATGAAGAGTTGCTCAACATCACTAATCATCAGGGAAACTCAAATCAAAACCACAATGAGGTATCACCTCACACCTGTCAGAATGATGAGAATAAAAAAAAGAAAGAACAAGAGTTGGTGATAATGTGAAGGAAAAGGAACCTTGTGTACTGATGGTGGGGATGAAAACTGGTTCAGCCATTATGGAAAACAATGTGGAGGTTCCTCAAAAAATTAAAAATAGAACTGTCATATGTTCCAGTAATTCCATCACTGGGTATTTACTCAAAGAAAATGAAAACATTTGAAAAGATACGTTTATATTGCAGCACTATTTATAGTAGGCAAGATATGGAAGAGCCCGTCAATAGATGAATGGATAAAAAAGATGTGGTGTATATATAGATATATATATATATCTAATAGAATATTACTTGGCCAGAGAAAAGAATGAAATCTTAACATTTGTAACAACATGGATAATTCTAGAGGGTATAATACTAAATGAAATAAGTCAAAGAAAGACAAATATCCTATGATTTCAATCATATGTGAAATTTAAGAAACAAAACAAAGCATAAAAGAGACAAAAAAGAGACTCACAAATATAGAGAACAAACTGGTGATTACTAGAGGGAAGGTGGGTGGGAAGAGGGCATGAG